AACAATTGATCTTGATTATGATCTTAAAGGTGTCACAAATTTTTAAAAATCAGACTCCACTAATAGAAATTCTAGAACCACCTCAAAGCCATGAACTATTGTTTTTAGATGGGAATATTAGTTGCTTTACATACAAAACCTTCCATTGCATACATTTTTGCAGGTAAGGGACAAGATTTGACCCTTATGATTAGCTCAATTGTAAATTCTGTTCTACTATAAAAATGTTTAAATTGTGCCAAAGCAAAGGATCTTGATAGTACGTTAGAGTTACAGTGTTTTTCAAGAACTTGAAAGAAAGATTATCTAATGAAACCTTAACAATAAAATCAACAAAACACAACCATGGAGAGATGTTTAATTTTAGCTGAAAGGGGGTGGTGCTACCTCCAGCCAATTGGGCTAACATGATTGAGTATATTAATTTGTCCAAAGAAAGCAAGAATGGGGCACATATCTCATTTTCATGAAGAATGATACATGGGGGTTATCCTAATCCAATGCTGTTACATATTCAGATTATATAGAATTAATTATGGAAGCAATCTCCCTTAATCTAAATTCTTTTTCACCCATCCTTTTTCCTGCCAGTATGCCTACATGAACAAAATATACTGTCTAGCAGTTATATTTATTTTTATAAATAAATTGTCAATGTTATTTACATTTCCATTTCTATCATCATTTTTTAATATTAGTGAAGTTGTAAAGGATCAATCCATTCTTGGTTTTCTATTAGATTGAGAGCCAGATCTTTTACAGCAATAATCCTCCAAGGCAATGTTGTTTTTTGGAGCAGTTTTGATCCTCTTGGAGAGAGCCAGCCTATCTTGCCCAGGGACAACATGGACCATAGGAACTGTTTTTTAATTCTAATTTTTAACTTCGTCAATGGATACAATTATTGTATACAGAGCATTGAATCATGAGTCAAATACCTTGATAAATGCCAAAAACCAACACCAAGTCACACAAACCAGAAGTAAAGACTCATCCTGGAATCCTCTTTTTCTCCAATCCCTCCTCCATCTCAAATGGTCACCAGATCCTGTAAATTTTAAGTCCTTAAATATCTTGGATCTACTATTTTCTCTCCATTGTCATTACTTCTTAGTTCAGGCCTTACCATGATTTTCCTCAAATACTGACATAGCCTCATAACTGGTAATTATCCTTGTTTCCAAATCATCTTCCATAACATTGCTCAAGCAATTTTTCAAAACCTCAACCTGGTTACTTTCTGTTGAAACTCACCAACAGCCTCCCTCTTCTCTGTTGAGTAAACGCCAGTCTCCTCGGTAAGGCATAAAAGGCCACCCATAATCTATTCACTTATCTTTCCCTCCTCATCCACCGTCAGTCTCCGTAGTATTAATCCCTCTGAAGTTCTCAGAACACACATCAGAGTCTTATCTCCAGACAGTTTCTCAGGTTCTCCCAAACCTGGCTGCCCTCTTCCCCCACTAATGGTCACCTCCCATCAGTTTGTTAATGTGGAACTCAGTGGGCAATTCATGGTGAGGTTATTAATTACACTATCATGTTGGCATAATTATTTTTTTCTGGTGAGGACCTCTAGTGAAAAACAGTAAGAGTCTTTCATTTCTCCAAAAATTACTACATGAAGTCTTTATTACTCAGAGCCTTAGAATCTTGTTTACAGGTCTGAGAGCCAAGCAATCACCACCAGATAAATATAGTCTGTCTAGAGGTGTCAATTTTTGATTGACTCTAAAACTGAGGCTTATCAGACTTTATTTCTCTCCTCCCGAAAAGAGCATGTTACAAAAGTTGTAAGTAGACAAATATAGGAATAATGTCGGGGTGGTTGGCAGGGAGTCACATGTCATTAAAAACAAGGTTTAATCAACTTTATGTTCCAAAAGTAAATGTCTCCTAATATATAGATTTTTCCACAGATTTATCACAGGGGCTTCAACATTTTTTCTTTCTTTCCTTTTTTATATATAATTTATCTGCATCCTAGTTTATCTGATCCATGAAACTGGGGACCATAACTCATTTTTGCAGAGTCCTGGATGCAATAAGCTTTCAGTAAATATTGAATTTATTTTGCCCAGGTGTGCAGTCTGGTACATTTCATTTAACTGTCATGAGAATAATTCTTTATCCAAAAAAAAAAAATTTAAAGCAATTAATAAGATTGGGGAATTTTAAATGGG